GTAATACTATTCCTGTTTCAGTTGTTGAAACACTCATTCACAACATGTTGGAAGTATTGAGGAAATCTGATCCTGTACTGAAAGATTCAATGTCTTTCAGTAAGAGTTGTTGGCAGCTGTCTGGTAGGGTGTCTTTTGTGTTCTTCGAAAATCATTTATTGACCACTAACAGGTATATTCACTTTATACCTAAAAAGTTGCTACTTACCTAGGTGTTCAATGATGTGTTTAGTAAAGTTGCAAATGATTTATGTTGTAATGTTTATTTAATATGCTTTGTATTTTATTTCTTGTGTAATCATATCATTAGGGGAATAGACTGTTAAAGTTAGCAATCTATTAGTCCATCATATACTTACTTTCTTCTAAACCCCAAAATGTATAGTCTTTATCTTCTGGAATTTCAAAAATATTTTTTCCATATATTTTTTAAAAATTTAATTCTGATTTTTGGGTGGGATTTTGGAAATCCCATCAATATTTTGAAGCATTGTCTTGATTAGTTTATCAATGTTTGTCATTAGACTTAATTGTCATAAATATTAATATTGCTGTAATTGAAAACAGTGCAACCTAAAAGCAAAATTTATTACTGAAGATAAGTGGAAGGATTTTAAAACTTTTTTTTTTTTTTTTTAGTACAAATTGGAATGTTTGTATGTGAATGGTGCTGAGTGGGTGGAATTGCTTTTGTATCTAGAAAGTAGTGACAAAAATGCCTATTGGTTTTTTTTGTAAATGAAATCAAGTTCTCTGAATTAATTTCATTGTGAGACTAATAAGCACTACCAAAATACAATGGTTCTTTATTTGGAAATCTGATTATCAAAGGATTATGTATAGATAACACAGTAAGTTGAAACTTAGAGAAACTTTCATAAAACATCCTCTAATTTTTACGTATTTAAAATGACCTCTTCCATTTTGGAATTGTTTAAAATTTACTTTCATAGATATTACTGGTTGCTTTATGACTTAAAGAAAGAACCTTTAGAATGAAATAAAGTATCTGGAATTTTTCTTATACATTTCAGTTGAGGATGCCATCTGTTCATTTTCGTGGTAGATAATGGTGGGGAAGCATTTTAAAATGTTGGGGCTCTAACTTAAGCTACTAAGTAATCTACTTCTCTTTGCCAAGTAATGTAATGTATTCTATCTTGATGTTTAAATACACAAAGGGAATACATTATTCTCACATTGAAAGGTAAGATAAATGGTGGTAAATGCTTATCTCTTGGTATCTTAGTTTTTATTCTTAATCAGTAGTAGCATTACTGCTGTGCCATTTATATTGTTCTTTTTTTGAAGACCTAATTTGTATGTAGAAACAAATGCAGAATAGATGAAAAAATCTGGCATGCCTGCGAGTGTTCTGTTGTATAATATGTGCTTTTTAAAATTATTTTTAACATGCAGTTAAGATAATTTGTTATAAATGTGTTTATGGCCTAACCCAGAATATTAGGTAAAATTAACTACCAACATTTTATTATGGTTAGTGTTGTGAATTTCCCTATCATTTATATTATTTAATTTGTAGATCTGATCCCTAAAAATACATCCCAAACAGCTTTGGCCTTTTTGGTACAGCATAGAGTAGGATATGGAATGTGAGAGAGTCTATTTGTGAATTTCTTGATAGCAGAGTAACCTTATAAAAGACCACCCTGGGAGTTAATGAGCTACATTGTCATTCAGAATTCATTCAACAAATGTTTATTGAATCCCTACTGCATTGCCAGGCATGGTGCTAGGTACTGAAAATGTGAAAGTAAGAAAGACAGTCCTTGACCTCAAGGTGCTGTTCAAGCAGACGGGACAGCCCCTTGTCAGGGGTTTTGAATGGGGAAATCAGACATTAGCTAGGGGACTGCGCAGGTGATATTGGAGGAAGATTTCTTTAGAACTTTTAGTCTGTGACTCAGTGCGATTGTATGAAAATAGGAAATCAAATAAAGGACAGAAACTAGAGAGGGATGGATGTTTAAAAATAAAAAGTAGGGCAAAAGTAGGTTTATGAGTATGTGTAAATAACAGTACAAGCTTATTCTTGTATTCGTATTTATTAATTGTATTATTTTCCATGCAAACAAGTGTACACCTACTTTTGTCCCACCCGGTATACGAATGCTCCAGCAATTACTGGAGGTAGTATCTACAGTATAGAGACTTCAGACTGTAGAACTAAAGATAAACTGAGTTTGGGTCATGAATAAAAGTAACTTATACAAATCAAGCTGTAGAGTTTTGAAATGATCAAAATTGAGTTAGATTTCAAGTCAAGATCTTTGGCTGAAGAAGCTTAGAATTTGCTTTTCTGAAGAGTTGAGCTCAGACCTGTGGTGCTCAGTTGGTTGGACATAGTTGTGCAAAGCGAAGGGTTGCCAGTTGGATTTCCAGCCAGGGAACATGATCATATGTGCCCTGGATGGGGTTAGGTCCCCATTCAGGACGTATAGGAGAGGCAGCCTATCAATGTTTCCTTCTTACATTGGTGTTTCTCTCCCTTTCTCCCTCCCTCCCCCTCTCTGTAAAAATGAATAAATAAAATCTTTAAAAAAACAAAGATTTGAGATTCCATAATAGGAAAAACTTTTGAATATGTAAAACAATTTTAGTAATTTTAATTTTTAAAGCCTAGTAACAATTGATTTCTTGAGCAGTACATCCAGGATTGTTTTAAATATAAAACGAATATAAAGTGGAGCTTGCTTTATTTTCTAAATAATGAGTTTAACAAGTGACTTCTAGAAAAGAAATTCAGGCTGATCTTAAATTTCATTGATTTGTTAGCATGAGCTTATTCATACTAATTAACACCTCTTTTAGCATACAGTGTTGGGGTGACAAATGTTCTGCCTAAGTGAATTTTCTAGCTAATGAAGTTACTTTTTTCAGCACTAACCATGTTTTTTAAAACTTTGTTTTTTTCATGAATTCTAAAATCTCAAATAGTTTTCGATCTTTTTATGTGTTATATAGTATACTCTATATGTATGTGGAATACTATTTATATGTAGTATAATATAGAACGTACTTTAACTCTGTCGTGTTGACTCAAGACTTCTTAAATATCGGTTACTACACTCTGTTGTGATAATGATAGGGGACAATTGAGATAAATTAAATCATTTGCCCTGGTCTGTGGTAAAGCCTTCAAATTGTATTGCTTTTTGAATAGTTTTTTCTGTTTGCGTCCTGTAATTCACCTCTCTATACTGTCAGCTGTCACCAGGCATCTATCACTGAGTATTGCTGTTGCCAGCAGTCAGTTCCCTTTCTGATTTACTGGTGGAACTAAGCTGTAGGCTTAGAAACTATGTAAACGGGTGATTGGTTTACTTTATTTAAAAGCAGTTGATTTTGTTTCAGATTCTGAACTTTTTTAGAATATTTGACCAGGATTATGGGGTTTAAAGAATTTTTCTCTCATAATATAGTCTAGAGGCCCTCATTGAATATGTTAACTCTTAAATCCTTTCAAAATATCATTCTTTTCCCTATGATCTTATGGTGTTGTTAGTCTTTCAAATTCCTTGCCCAGTAATTCTTAATAAAGGAATTGATCTGCCAGCAGAAATTACCAATTTTTGTTTTTGGCTTTTAGCTGGCCTTAAATCATCTCCTGATAACAGGTTGTTGTTGTATAATGTGTGCTCCAAAAGCTGTTTCCTTTCTCTTTTTAGCCCACCTTGTTGGAGCAGCGAGTTACTTGTCTGGCCTTTCCTTTCCTGATTAGTGTCATCCTCATTGGTTTCCTCCAGTAGCAGTATCTTGCCCAGATCAAACCATGGACAGTTTATGAATTTGGTGTTGCCTTAATCACAATTGCTTAGTATCTGGAGATGTTTCCATTCTGTTTTACTTAGTTTCTTGTTTCTGAACTTGAATACTAGCACATCAGACAAAACAGTTCCTAATTCTCAGTATTTAGTGGCTGTCCCCTGAGTGCGGTGTTCGTGCATTATCGAATGAGGATGTCGTTCCCCACACACCTTACCTGGTTGCAGAGGGAGTGGACCCTCTCAGAGGCAGGGTCAGAATATCCAGCGCTCCTTTTTGTCTCATCCTCCTTTATCTCATCCCCAGTTCCCGTCTCCCTCTCTCCACTAGGTTTGTCTGTTAACTTCTTATTTTTGTTGCTCACCAAATGGAGCTGCTTTCCGCTCCATTTTCCTCCTCCATTAATGAGTCTTGCCCCCTTTTAAGGTACCCTTTTCCCAAAAGGGCAGGGTGATTACTCTAACATGAAATATGTGTGTGTGTAGGGAGAGGGTCAAAGTAGAAAGCAAACCAAAATAAGAGAGAAGTTAGTAACACAGGTTATTCTTTTCTTTCATTTCTGAACCTCCGCTTTCTGATCTGTGAAATAGAGATAATGATAACTACTTAATGAGGTGTTTGTTAGAATTAAGTGGGATGTATACAGTTCTTATCAGGTAGATGTTCAGTAAGTGGACAGTTACTTTCTCCCTTTCCTTTATTGACAGGTACAATTCTTGAGGAAATATGGTTTACTGATAAGTGTTAGCAGACAAAGTGGTTTCACATTTAGTTTGGCAGGATATTTGTTGCTATAGAATGTTATCTATATGCTAACAAATGCTGTGTGAATGGGTTGTATTCTAGCTGATTGTAATAGAATGAAGAATCAGAGCTTACTGATGCTGTACATTTGTAGAGCACTATTACCTAAAATAGATTTTTACAACAGATTTCATAAGTATGAAATTCGATGAAATCATTCCTGGTAATCCCTGTTAAAATGAAACTGTTTCTGTGATGGGACAGTTCATGTAGCAGCCTCTTTGAGTTTTAAGTGACCAGACATGGTACTTTTAAGGAAAGATTGCCTGATTAGAAAGAAGATGACTGGTAATGTAATCTTTCTCAGGGTTCTCCAGAGGCACCCTATGGCCTTTGTCAAGTTGACACATTAAAATTTTAACCATCCATCTTCTTTTAATAAACTTCTTCCCTATTACATTTTTCTACAGATAGACACACCATCAGGAATGGAATTACCGTCATGGTATCCTGTTATAAAGCAGGAAAGTGACCATGTTTCTCAGACGCATGCATTTTTACACCCTAGGTGAGTGGGTATTGTCTCATTAGTTAAGTCATTTGTTCATTCATTCATTCAGTGAGCATCTATATATTAGATAATATTCTATGGCATTGGGCATTCATTATTTAGCTTTATGCTTTTTTGTTAATAGTGAAATGAATCAAATTGTATTGAACATTTAAAGTAACGTTTTTTTGTGTTTCTATGTTTTTTTCCCTAGAAATAGGTCATTTCATTTTTGCTCTGAAGTAAAAAATGAAAGTTTTGTTTTAATTTCCTTAGCTCTTTTCAAGAGATAAATCAATTCTTCAAAAGCCTGATGTGCAACTTTGATATTTTAAAAATAAATCTTGTTGAAACTTAGACGCTTTCATAGTAACCACACCCCTCAAAGTTAACTTTTCATTTTTTCAATAAAAATGTACCTTAGATTATAAACTATTCACTCCTAAAGTTTTTAAAATTTTTTTTATTTATTGAGAGAGGAAAGGGGTGGGGAAACATTGATTTTGTTGTTCTACTTATTTATGCATCATTGGTTGATTCTTGTGTGTGCCCTAACTGGGGATCAAACCCTCAACCTTGGAGTATTGGGAAGACATTCTAATCAACTGAGCTACCTGGCCTGGGCTTTAGTCCTAAAGTTTTTTGTTTGTTTTTCTTAAGATTTTATTTATTTTAGAGAGAGGGGAAGGGAGAGAGAAAGAGAGAGGGAGAGAAACATTGATGTCGAAAAGATACATCAATGGGTTGCCTCTCACATGCCCCCAACTGGGGACCTGGCCCGCAACCCAGGCATGTGCCCTGACCAGGAATTGAACTGGTGACTTTTTGGTTCACAGGCTGGCACTCAACTCATTGAGCCATACCAGCCAGGGCCGTCCTAAAGTTTTATCTGCTGCTGTAAATGTATATTCTCATCAAGCATGATGATGACAAATCTCAAGTCCTACTGACATTAGCACAATTTCTACATTCTTACTTGGTTTGAAGTCAGCCTTTGGACCATATTAAACTTGTCAGTTTTTTTTAGCAGAATACTGAGTTTTCATGCTCAGAATTCATGTAGTTGGTCAAAAAAGGGACAAAATAGGTATATCCTATACAAAGAAAATGAGGTATAAGAGGAGATTATTTAGAGTTTAGGGGATAAAGTATCATGTCAGTTAAATGGTTGTATCTTTTGGCTATAGGTTATACAAATTATAGTTAATAATGTGGTACCTAAATATCTAGCTCATATCCGTTCCATGAGTCTCTCAGATAATCTGTTGAACAATCTTATGTGAACCTCAAGCAAAATTGATAGATAGCCTTTTGATCATAGTTTTGCACAACTTACTATTGCTGTTTTTTCAAATACACAGTAAGTACTAAAGTATTTTAGGAAGATTCTATGGGGTTTGAGACAAGGAGGGCTGCCCAGAAGCTGGGCAGCATTCAGAATGCCTGTTTTCTCCTTGAGCTTTTTAAGAAGGAAGGGGCCTATGGTGAAGCAGGCCATAGCCATGCAGTGTGGGACTGAACCAACCTCACCATAACAAAGAGCATGCATGTGTTGTTTTAGAAGGGTGATGGGCAAGAGAACAGTCCTCCTCAAGAGGCATATAGTGTTTTCTTTCTGGCGTAACTGCTTCATGCTTTTAGTTCTCAGTTGGTTTTGAGGGAAGGAGAAGAAACATGTTTTTTCTAGTGAGTGTCCTTTTAGTGGTTAGAAATTACTTTGTGCAAAATAACAAAAATCCCTTATGATTTTGCTTTTACTATCTAAAATAATGACTTTTTCAAGAATTCTTTTCTGTGACCCTTATTTTCTGAGTTATGTTGTCTCTTTTGGTGAAAAAAAAAATTGTTTAACCATAGAAATAGATGTAACGCATTTTACTTTTTACCTAAATGTAATGTCTTTATTGCATTATTATGCCTTTCCTTATTTTCAGCTACTACTTATACATGTGTGATAAAGTGGTTGCCCCAAATGTATCACTCACCTCTGCTGTGTCCCAGTCTAAAGAGGTCACAAAGACAGAGGCAAGTAGATCCATACCAAGACAGTCAGAGAAGCCTCACAGTAGTGGGAAACATCAAAAAACAGTGTCTTATCCAGACGTCTCACTGGAGGAACAGGAAAAAATGGATTTAAAAACAAGCAGAGAATTATGTAACCGTTTAGGTAAGTATTTACAATTAGTGTTTAAAAAGTTTCAGAAATTTAAAAATCAAATATTTAATAAATATATTTAGCATTTCCCAAGAGGATTTCTGTGTAAGGGAATTTTTCAGATAATTGAAGCTTTTATTGTAAAAAATGCTGAGTGACTACTTAGAACTTCAATTGCTATACTTTTCTAGAATGAGGATAGCTATGGAGGCTAATGAGAGATATATAGGCTACTGGCTTCATACTGCAAGTGATTTTTGTGTGATCCCCCGCCCCCCCCCCCCCCGCTCCCTTCTTGCCTTTTCTTTGATGTCAGGTTTCTTCAGAAGATCCATATTTTTCTTTCTAATTTGCTGTGAACTGAAAACCCATTTAACTTTACAATGCTAGGAAGTATATGTAAGAGTAGTTAGGTATGGGACTCAGGGAAACTTAGTCATGAAAAAAGGAAGGGTTGAAAACTCATAGTTGTGGGAGCCAGGCAGATGGTACAAATGCAAAATGCTGGCTGGACATCTAAAAAAAAAGCTGCCTAGTTAAAGTGCCTTTTATAATAACTGTGGGCCAGACAAGATATGTTCGCTCAAATGCTGCCTATGTATCGTATCCCTCCATGTAGCAGCAGAGCTTTGCATATAGCTTACGGAAGTGTGACAAGTTTTTCAGCTTTGTGGGAGCAGTTGAAGAGTCTCTAGTCATTTAACTGTTTTCATAGATAATTGAGATTCTTGGTGGGGGATTTCTGTACTCTAATTTTGAGAGTTTTAAAACTTAGTTTTCTCTGGATTTAAATATGGGACTTAATTACTAGTGTTATCATTATGTCCTACTTACATTACATTTTATTTTCCAAATTGTGAATTCTAGTGACTTAAATTATTGAAATGTAATTCATCTACCTTAAACTTTACACTTTTAACACATACAATTCAACTGTTTTTGATAAATTCACAAAGTTGTACAATGATCACAACCATTTAATTTCAGAACATTTTTGTCACTCCCCAAAAAACCTTAGTCCATTAGCAGTTAGTCTCCACACTCTCCTTTCTCCAGCCTCTGTCAACCACCAGTCTATTTTTTGTCTTTATGGATTTGCCTATCCTGGACATTGCATATAAAAAGGATGGTATAGTATGTGGCTTTTTGTTGTCTGGCTTCTTTCACAGTCTTGATTTCTGTAGCTCTGTAATAACCTTTGAAATTGGAGATTGAGCGTCCCCAAGTCTTTTTTAAGATTGTTTTGGCTTTTTTGGATTCCTTGCATTTCAATATGAAATTTAGAATCTGCTTGTCAGTTTCTGCTATAAAGCTAGACGGGATTTTGATAGGTATTACATGGAAAAAGTAGATTAATTTGGTGAGTATTACCAGGTATCTTAGTCCATTTGGGCTGCTCTAACAAAAGTACTGTAGACTGGGCAGCTTATACCACAGACATTTACTTTTCATGGTTCTGGAGGCTGGGAAGTCTAAGATCAAGAGATCAGCAGATTTGGTGTCTGGCAAGGTCCTGCCTCCTGGTTCACAGATAGCCATCTGCTCACTGGGTCCTCACATGGTGGCAAGGATGGGAGAGCTCTGTGGAGTCTCTTTTATGAGGACATAAGTCCCATCATGGGGGCTCCATCCTTATGATGTAAGTAGCTCCCAAAGGCCCGAACCTCCTAATACCATCACATCAGGGATTAGGGTTTCAACATGAATGGGGGGTAGGAGTCACTAACACTCAGTTCATGACGCCATCTTCACAATATTACTGCTTTTAATCCGTGAACATGAGATGCCTTTCCATTTATTTTCAATGTTTTATAGTTTTCATTGTTCAAGTTGTATATACTACTTTTGTTAAGTTTATTCCTGAGTATTTTATTTTTTTAAATTTCATTTGCAAGTGAAATTTTATTAATTTCATTTATGGATTGTTCTATTGACATTTTAACAGAGTGATATTCATACTTTGTTACTTTATTTTTGCCTCTTAAAGATCCATCAATCTCAAATAATTCTGTAAGTAAAAAGAAACCTGAGTCTACCACTTGCAATTTAATCAGAGACACAACCAGGGTGGGAATTGACCACGATGCTGCAGCTTCATCTTCGTCTCCACTTCTTGTCAGAGATGTCATTTGTGAGGATGATAAGGGAAAAATCATGGAAGAAGTAATGAGAACTTATGTAAAACAACAGGAAAAATTGAACTCAATTTTGCAGAAGAAGCAACAACTTGAGATGGTAAAATTGCCTTCTAACTAATACCACATTATGCAAAGATATTGCTGCATATTCTTAGGAAACGTCAAGATGAGTTGCTGCAAATTTAAGATTATTCAGAGTTTTGCACTCATAAGCAATTTTAATATACTTTAAAAAATTTTTAGAATTTATTTTAGAGGAAGAGACAGAAAGAGAGAGAAAGAAACATCAACTTGTTGTTCTACCGATCTCTGCATTCATCAGTTGATTCTTGTATGTGCCCTGACCAGGGGATCAGACTCACAACCTTGGCATATGGGATGATGCCTGACCAACTGAGCTACCCGGCCAGGGCTAATGTACTTTTAAATTTTTAAAGAAAAGTTTTGCAACATAATCACTTCTACATAGAGTTGCTATGACAGCTGAATTTTAGATATTTTATATAGTATTTTTTCCTGAATTGAAATTTTTTAACTTGATGGAACTAAAGTACAAATTGTATTGTGATTCTTTATATTACAGGAAGTTGAAATGTTGAGTAGTTCAAAAGCAATGAAGGAACTCACTGAAGAACAGCAAAATTTACAGAAAGAGCTTGAATCTTTGCAGAATGAACATGCTCAAAGAATGGAAGAATTTTGTGTTGAACAGAAAGACTTAGAGAAAAAATTAGAGCAGGTAATGAAGCAAAAATGTACCTGTGACTCAAACTTAGAAAAAGACAAAGAGGCTGAATATGCAGCACAGGTAAGAATTACTCAGTTTGTATAGTGTTGCCCTTTCAGTATGGGAATTGAAGCTGTTGCCTTCCCTCTTAAATAAATTAATTTTTTGTCAAGCTCATTTCATTAGGCTAGATTTCAAAATGCATAATTCTGTTAAGTACAACTTTATGCTTGTATCAACCAGAATGACTTTCTGATTTTGATTGCTTTGTTACTTGAAACTTTTATTGGGTTTCTGTAGTTTAGTTGCCCAAATTGTTAATTTTTTAGCTCTCTGAATATCAATTATTATATTATTTTAATACAGTGTACTGGTTTTCAAATAAATAAATTAACAAACATGAACTGTTGCCCACTATATTCAAAAGCACTTGAGCAAAAATGAGTAGTAGCTCACACCCTAGGGAAGATGAACAAATAACACTTAACGAGAGCAGGCTGTGGTGATTGGAGGTATGCTAAAGCGCGAGGCATAATGAAAACAGGCTTGGTGTTCAGTTCTCTTGACCCTTTGTTTTCCCCTCATTCAATGTCAAGTCAAAATCAGATCAATAGTATAAGATATTTAACAGATTGTATATGCATGAAATAGTTCGTTTTGTAAAGAATAATTTGAAGGTAAATCTTTGCTGTGATGTAAGGATTAAATGGAAACAAAACAATGGAAACTGACATAGTCTTTTAAATCACACAGTTGGCAGAACTAAGACAGAGATTGGACCATGCGGAGGCTGACAGGCAAGAACTTCAAGATGAACTCAGACAGGAACGGGAGGCAAGACAGAAGTTAGAGATGATGATAAAAGAGTTAAAGCTGCAAATTTTGAAATCAAAGACTGCTAAAATATAGAAATCTTTAAAGAGATTCATCTGTATGTTCCTGACAGAATTTATTTTTGTTTGTTTGCTTTGCTAATTCTGAACAGCTTATCTGCATGAAGATAACTAGGCATTCTATCCATTTGTAGATCAGAGAAAGTGAAGAGATTATATATTAGTACATAAATTTTTACATTTCCAAATGAATGAAAATGTATGTTTCTTTGTACTTTTTTCCCCCCAAAAAGCTTAGTAACAGTACTCTATTAACTATTAGATACTCTGCCTATATTTCTAATGCAAATTTAACAGTTGTATACTTTTTAAAAGCTGCATTGAGTGATGGAAAATAGTTGTGAGTTTTGTTATCCATATTTCAGACTCAATTTTAGATACAATGGTGGCTTCATATTTCAAATGTATAGAAATATTCAAGGAGTTGAATCTCTATTGTTTTCATTAACATAATCTCTTTTCTAAGCTGATATACCATACTCATTATTATATACAAAGTTTGTCTTTATTTTGTTCATATTTGTGGAATGAATTTCCTTCAGTTCTCTAGTTTTTAAGGTTTCCTGAGAGACATTTTTGTTAAAAGAAGAACTTCAGTGATGAAGTTACGGCACACGCCACGGACAAACGGGGAAGGATGATATGCATCATTATAACCCTGCTGCTAAACAGAACAGGCAGTTTTTTTTCTTTTTTTTGTTTGTTTGTTTTTTGGTTTAAGCATGGTTATATTTAGATTTTTTTTATGCAGCAGCTTCAGGAGAGGGAATAAAATGTAAAAATTTCTGAACTTTTGTTTATGTTGTTAATAGCGGTGTTGAAATGTTACTGTTCTTGAGAAAAACTGATACCACTGATGTACATCAGTTTTTATACAATCCATAATCTTCCTGTACAGTTTTTATATGTAGTTGTGGGGCTTACTAAAATTTATATAATGGATTTGTTTTCCTTGATGCCTTTGTTTTCCTTAAAGTTGTAAAATATTAAACACCTTGAATGTTATTTTGGACTTTTGTATGTTTAAATGTTAAGTCTTATCAAAATTTGCACAAATGGACCATTTCAATTATGACAATGTCAAAATCAGGAATTTACAGTCAACTGATACAATTTATGATAGATTAATATAGGTAAGTTTAGTTATATGCTACTAAAAGATTTTTAGATAATTTTTAGAAGACAGGAATCCCATAGTTTGTGAGAGGGCAACATCTGCACTTTTTTTTTTTTTTTTTTTTTGCACTAAATGGCAAAGTCTTTATTGGCAATTTTCATGTTAGTTAATTCTTGGCTTAAAAGATATTAGTAAAATTTTTAGTATGCATTTTTTAAAAGAAGTTTCCTGAAGCTACAGTTGACATTATTATCTCATGAATTTTATGTTCTCCTGTTCTTGCCTAAGGTACTGAATGAAATTACTTGAGAGCTAAATCTATTTTTAAAATAAACCAGCTAGTCTTACATGCTATTCCCTGCATAAATGATAGGTACTCGGTATGGAATTTCAAAAATCAGTAGGTTATCTAACAAGTTATTTTCATATTTTGCTTAATGGTACTAATGTATCCTAAAAGAATTTCTTAGTTTTTTTCAGTAGAATGTGATCTAAATGGGTATTTTCTGTTTACCATTTAGATTTTACTGTATTAGTCCTGCAATTTGTTGATTTTTGGAATCTACTCAAGGAGGAGAAAATGTTTAAAAAATGACCTACAGGAACAGTGTTTAAAATAACATCTTTATTTAGATCTGGAGAAAGAAAAATCACAAAAACATTCTATAATACAGTTTCATTTTTGTTGTGAATTAGTGTGTCACAGCTAAGCTTTTTGGGAGACAAACTTAAGCCTCTAAATTTCATTTATTTTTCTAATTCACTCAAAATCTTTCTACTCATGTTACTTAGTAAATGATAAGCTTATTTAAGTTCCAACCCAAAATTTCTAAAATACTTAATCTTTGTAATACATTACTTTAAAATTCTAAGCAGTGCTTAAACTCCTTTGAATTACCATGAACTCTTAATTTAGAATTGAGTGAAATATTTTTTCCATTTCTTCACATAATGAAAACTTGCCACATGAAATTGTATAGTCTTCTCTTTCCCAAAAATACATTGATGTTGCCATAGATTTATGTCTAACTTCCTTGAAAATAGTTCTTTTAATCAATTGTAAATATCATACCTATTCTAGTGAAAAGTAATTTTACGTTAAACTGCACCACATAGCTTGAAATTACAGAGATTTTGTAATACTTTAAAAGTGGCATCTGCTAAATTATCTTACCCATATAAACTTTTCTGTTCTTTGCATGCTCATTTTGTGTGTTGATTGCTACCTTAAAGTTTTGTTTTGGTGTTGCTTTTGTGTGCTATTCATTAGGCAGGCAGATTTTTCCTCAGATTTTATAATACTCTTCTTAGGAAAAATATGAAAATACTTTAAAAAGCTGCATTAAAGGAATGGCCTATCAAAGTTCTAGAGCATCTTTAGGAGGAAGATAGAATATTAGCTTACTGGTTGATAGGTGATGTTTAACTTGGGTGATGATAGTTTCTGTACTCTAAACCTTATGAGGAAAAGATACCAAATCTATAAAGGTAGCAAATGTAAAATCTGCTGTCATTGAGGAAGCTTGAAACTACCCTAATTTTACAAATTAATTTGTAACATTATGAAAGGATTTGACCAACAATGTAAGTTTGGCTTGTGCTTTAGTTTTGTAAAGCATATTCTTTTGCTTGAATTTCTGTGTCCATGAGAATTAGGGTGTTTTATGCTTCTTGAACTAATTTTATAGCATATTTAATATATTACTAGTTGGAATATAAAATCATTTGTACATACTGAATTACCAACCAGTTACTAAAGTAGGTGAAATAGACTGAGTACAATATATGCAGGTTATTCATTATTAGAAGTCATGACAGAACAACCAATTTATTTGCACATCCGTGGACTCTGAAGGAAAGTAAAATGACAAATGAGTAATATGAAACATGCTCAAGGTATTTCCCTAAAGTTAATTGTAAAGCTGGTGCTGAAAGGTTTTCAATCAGCTTCTAAAATTTTCTTCTCAATGAAAAGACTATGTTTTGGTTGCCTAAGGAAGAATCTTCATTTTTATATACTTTTATGTATTTAATCTGCACGACAGGACGTTAAAAATTAATATGAGAAGTGCTCATACTGTACATCTGTTTCTGTGCTTGGAACTACTTGTTAATAGTTTTTATTGACGCTGTCAGCAATAAGGGACACAGTGGGATTGAATGACTTAAACAGCTTAATTTTTTTCTAGTATAGCATACTTAAGCATTTCCATTACTGGAAAAATTTATATAGGTATTCTATATTGTATCTTGTTTAAAAGGACAGTTTTTTTAAAAATCAATTTTAAATGGCTTTAAACTACATAATGCAATTAGGGCTTGTCTTTTGTTTTTTAGTAATAGAATTACATGTCTTATACAGTGCTACTGTTTTTGAATTAGAAAGTGATCAAATATAAACACTGAAATTTAAAAGTTAAGCCCAGAAAACAAAATAGGGTATCAAATTAGTTGAATGTAAAAGAAGTTTATGATTTTCTTCAATATACATACCTCACTTGAAAATAAAGCACAGCATATTTAAAGTAAAAGTAGTTCTAGTAAAAAAGTCCTACTAAATTGCTAAATCTAGGACACCTTGTGGGAAATTATAGTTTGGAAAATACACTTGCTCTTAACCATCCTATTAGATGTATTTGTTTATCCTGATAATTATAAGCCAACATAGTAGTCCTAAATTATTTCTGAATTTTTAATCCATGAAGGCAGTAAATGAAATACCTGTTCTGCAACTGTTGAAACAAATTGTTGATTACATTGACCATAATTCATTATAAAATTTTGCCAATGATGTACAGTTTTATGGTTAAAATTGCTGTGGTTGGTTGTATTACATGACACAAAACTGTCCTCTACCTCACGTGAAATAAATATTTTATATGGTTTTACTATAAAACAAGACTCATCTATCTGGTCACTTAGTTTACAAATTTTGAATTATATTTATTGAAACATGACATACTGTGCTCTTAGCTTATACCTCAATTGTATTTTGTGCTGTTTTCCATTTTCATGCCTTGTAAATAACTTGTATAGATTGTGGATTAAATTCCAAATAAAAACTTTTAATGCCAATAAATTGTTTCAAGCCATCTTGGTATCCTGTGCAAGCTTATCCTTTAAAGTTGACATTTCCTTTTTTTAAAAATTTAGTCTTATTCATTACACACTAAGTGATTAAGACCTTTTTATAAAAAAAAAAAACGTGTGACATTTTATGCATACTGACTTTTAGTGATTATTCTATTTCATAATGCTTGGACTCTTGCATCTCCACTTCTGGTATTAGTTATCTATTATTGTATAACAAAATCTAGCAGCTTAAAACAACAATATTGCACATAGTATAAGGGGCAGAAATCCCGCAGCAAGTTAGAGTGCAGTAATGATGTTCCCTGGGGCTGAAGTCATCTGAGAGCTTGACAGCTGGAGGACCTGCTTCTAAGGGCACACTCACATGGCTATTAACAGGCGCTTAGTTCCTCATTGTTTGGACCTGCCCATGGAGCTCTTCATAATATGGTGTGGATGGCTTCCCCCAAATGAGTGGCAAGATGGAGAGAAAGAGGGATGCCACCATCTTTGATGACCTAGACTGTAAGTCACATACTATTACTTTGCTTTATGCTCTTTGTTAGAAGTGCCTCAAGTCCAGCCTATACTCACTCAAGGGGCTTACCCACGGGTGAAAACAGAGGCAGAGATCATTGGGGGCCATCTTAGGGTCTGGTTACCAGATCCTCCAATTTTTTTTCTGTGACAAAATATGTGTAACAGTATGATTCAGTTGGCAGTAAGTAGGCACAATGTTGTGTAACTATCACCACAATTTCCAGAACTTTTTAATTATCTGAAATAAAGAACTCCCTACTCACCTCTACCTTTTGCCTCTATTTTCTATCCTTAGATTTACCTCATACAGTAGAATCAAAATATTTTTCCTTTTGTCTGACTGCTTTCACTTAGCATAATATTTTTAAGGTATTCCCATATCCACATATATATACATATACCGCATTCTGTTTATCCATTTGTTAATGGACATCTGGACATTTTGGGTGGTTTGTGCATTTTAGCTATTGTGAAGATTGCTATGAACATTAATTTACAAATAACCTGTGTAAGTCCCTGCTTTTCATTGGGGTGTACATCCAGAAGTGGAATTGCTGGGTCATATGGTAAGTCTACATTTACCTTTGAGGAATCACCAAGCTTTGTCACAGCAGCTCCTTCATTTTACATTCCCAGCAGAGATGCACAAGGTTTCCAATTTTTTCACATACTTGTTGCACTTTCCATTTTATTGATAATAGCTATCTCAATGGACATGAAGTGCTATTTCATTGTGGTTTGATTTGCATTTCCTGAGTGACTAACGATGTTGAACATCTTTTCATGTGCTTATTGGCCACTTGTATATCTTTGAAGAAATGTCTATTCAAGTCCTTTGCTCAGTTTTAAATTGAGTTTGTTGTTGAGTTGTAGTTCTTTATATATTTTGGATATTTATCCCTTATCAAATATGAGTTGAAATATTTTTCTTCTGTTTTCTGGGCTACCTTTTCATTCTGAATAATGTCCTTTTGATACACAGAAGTTTTAAATTTTCATAAAGTCCGGTTTAGTTTTTCTTTTGTTTTCTGTGCTTTTGGTTTCATATCCAAGAAATGATCACCAAATCCAGTGTCATGAAGCTTTCCCCTTATGTTTTCTTTTAAGGATTTTATATTTTTAGCTCTTACATTTAGATCTTTGATCCATTTTTGAGTTAATTTTGTATGTGGTGTAAGATAGGGTTTCCTTCGTTTGCATATGGGTATCAAGTTCCCACAATTTGTTATCCTTCCCCACTGAATAGTTTTGACATCTTTGTTGAAAATCATTGACCATATATGCAAGGGTTTATTTCTGGGCAGTCTATTCCACTGGTCTACATATCTGTCCTTATGCCCGTACAAAGCAGTAGCTCTGTAGTAAGTTTTGAAATGAAATGCGAGTCTTCCAAATATATTTTTTTAAAGATTGTTTTAGGTTTGTGGGAGTCCCTGGAAAGTCCATATAAATTTTAGTAAGGGTTTTTCTACTCCTACACAAAACACCATTGGGATT